GAGGTGGGTGGACTCATGTAGTTCTCGCAGCAACGTGTCTGCTACAGTGGCTGGGAGCACCACCTTTCCCTCCTTAGTCGTCCACCACCCATGTCTTCCTCGAGTCCAACATCTCCTGTTCATTTCCATTATCTCCTTGTCTGTATATTCAGGTTTTTCTGGGAGTACTGGTGTGGGAAGCAGAACCATTTGTTTCCCCACTGATTTTTGGGCTGCTTGTCTTGCTGCCTGATCAGCAGCATTATTACCAATCACCTCAGGGCTTGACCCCTTTTGGTGCCCACGGCAATGGATGATGGCAACCTCTTGGGGCAACCAGATGGCTTGTAGCAGTGTCAATATCTCAGTCTTATTTTTAATTTCCTTCCCTTCGGAGGCTAGCAGCCCTCTGTTCTGATAAATCTCCCCATGTACATGGGCGGTGGCCAAAACATAACGGCCATCAATGAATATATTTATCCTTTTTCCTTTTCACAATTCCAGAGCCTTAGTTAAAGCAATCAGCTCAGCCCTCTGTGCTGATGTTCCTTGAGGTAGCCCCTGCTCCCATTCCACCTGTTGGTCCTGGTTGACCACCGCTGCTCCAGCATACCGTACACCATCACAAACGAAACTGCACCCATCAGTATAGAACATTATCTGTGCGTGGCGGAGGGCCTGGTCCGTCAAGTCTGGAAGTCCTCCCCTTGAGTTTTCAAGAGTCTCGAGGCAATCATGGATGGGCATTTGTTCATCAGATTCTGGGAGTAGAGTAGCCGGATTGAGGCTAGCGGTGGTGGCAAACTTAATGCATGGCTGTTCTAATACGAGTCCTTGATATTGTAACAGTCTGGCATTAGACAGCCATTTGCTAGGTGAGCTATTCAACAAGGGCCCAATGGCATGGGGAGTGATCAAAGTTAAATCCTGTCCAAAGGTCAATTTGTCAGCCTCTCGGGTTAAAGCAGCTGCTGCTGCTACTGTCCTCAAACAAGTAGGCCACCCTCAGGCCACTGGGTCCAGCTTCTTTGAGAGGTATGCCACAGGCCGCTTCCATGGCCCCAAAAGCTGAGTAATCACTCCCTTAGCCACTCCATTTTTCTCTGTCACATACAAGGTAAAGGGTTTGTTTAAGTCTGGCAATGCCAGGGCTGGTGCCGATGCAAGTGCAGTCTTAAGCATTTGAAATGCATGCTGGCAAGCCTCAGTCCATTCGAGGGGTGTATTTCCTCCCGCAGTGGCCTCATGCAGGGGTTTGGCAATCTCAGCAAAGCCAAGAATCCAAATCCTGCAATAGCCAACTGCCCCTAGAAACTCTCGCACCTATTTCTTTGAGTCTGGCTTCAGAATCTGGAGAATTGCAGATACTCTCGATTCTGCCAGCCTCCTCTTTCCCTTTTCAAGAATATAGCCCAAGTAGGTTACCTTGGTTCGGCAGAGTTGAGCTTTCTTCCAGGACACCCAATATCCCAGTTCCTGGAAGGCTTTCAGGAGGCCCTCGGTGGCTGCAGTGCATTCTTTATTGGTTGAGGTCGACACCAGGAGGTCATCAACATACTGAAGAATAGTCGCCTAGGGAAACACTTTTTTTACCTCTTGTAGATCTTTGCTGAGGGCTTCCCCAAACAGAGTGGGGGAGTTTTGAATCCCTGCGGCAGCCTGGTCCATGTCAGCTGTCCGGTTTTTCCGGTGTCTGGGTCAGTCCATTCGAAAGCAAAGAGGGGCTGGCTCACAGGTGCTAGAGGCAGGCTGAAAAACGCATCTTTAAGGTCTAATACTGAGTACCACACATGACCAAGAGGGATGAGACTCAACAGAGTATAGGGGTTTGGTACTGTTGGGTGAATGGTCTCCACCCGGCTGTTTACTTCCCATAAATCCTGTACCGGTCTGAAGTCTGAGGTGCCAGGCTTCCTCACAGGAAGCAGGGGTGTATTCCAGGC